TTGTTACACAGGCTGGAGTGCAACGGCGCGATCTCGGCTCACTGCAACCTCCGCCTCCTGGGTTCAGGCAATTCTCCTGCCTCAGCCTCCCAAGTAGCTGGGATTACAGGCACACGCCACCATGCCCAGCTAATTTTTTTGTATTTTTAGTAGAGACGGGGTTTCACCATGTTGACCAGGATGGTCTCGATCTCTTGACCTCGTGATCCACCCACCTCGGCCTCCCAAAGTGCTGGGATTACAGGCTTGAGCCACCGCGCCTGGCCGGGGCTGTCATCTTTACATGACTTTATCAATTGGCAAGGAGCCCTGTCTTCATGGAGTCTCACTGGCATGGTGTCCTGGAGACTGAGACTGGAATAAACCACACAGAAGATGTTATTCACTTCTTTATCATCCAGTGACCGGATCAAAGAAACTAGGAGGAGAAAATAAGCCAAAGCAGCTGCAGTGTTGCCCTGGACCCTGTGGCTTTGAGCAGCCAGCCCAGCTGTGCAGGTGCCAGAGGCCCTTGATGAAAGCTGCTGTGTGCTTCGGGACAGTGCTGGCAGGGTGAGCTCGCACCAGATAGGCCCTCTCTACACAGGCCAGGAGCACAGGAAGACACAACCCTCCAGATCACCTCTTAATCTCAGGGATAATACCTAAAGAAAGAGAAGGATGAATAAATCATTCTGACCTGGGAGTAGATGGTAAAGGCCTCCTCCTTCTCCAGCAGGAATGTGTGAGCCACTCTGCCTATCACTGGCTTGCTCATGCAAGTGTCCCACAGCACGGGTGTGATGGTAAATGTCTAACAACTGGCTCTCAAGACTGGAGGTGGGGGATGAAACTCTTATTTGTAGCATTTGCTGATACCTGCAGTGTAAATACTCCCACCATAGCCAATTCCAAGCTACCAACATGATGGCACTTAATAGAGAGTCGGGAAGAGATGCTACAAAGAATAGGGAAGAGATGCTATAAAGAATAGGGAAGAGATGCTATAAAGAATAGGGAAGAGATGCTATAAAGAATAGGGAAGAGATGCTATAAAGAATAGGGAAGAGATGCCATAAAAAATAGGGAAGAGATGCTACAAAGAATAGGGAAGAGATGCTGTCCTCTCCAGAGTTGTCTCCAGCCCACCACCCGCCACCTCTCAAAAACCCACGTTGAGAACACGAACCCTTATCTTTAGTCATACTCTCTTCCAATTCTTTAATGAGGGAGGAGGGAAATGTTGTGCTTCTGAGAACACGAGGAAACACATGATATTTTGCCTGGCTGCAGCGGCAGGCACGTGGATTTTTACTACTCTAAGTTCTTTCTCCCTTTACTGCTAAACAAGTTCCCATGCATGGTTTCAGAACAACTTGGCAAACTGCGGGGAAAGAGAAGCAGCAGCTATTGTTGAACAGACAAGCAAACATCCCCAGAGTGGCTAAGAGTGCCGACCACACAGCTCAATCTGAGTCCCAAGCCCTTCTTTACTTCTTTGTGCAGGGACCCCTTATCTCTCCAGGGAAGAGTCCAGGGTTCCAGTCAGCAGGGGGTGTGATGATGGGCTTCTGGCTTCAAGGCTTTCAGTGGCTTCCTATTACGCACAGGACGAAGTCCCAGACACACAGCATGGCGCAAAGGAGGTCTCTGCCTTGACCCCCATCTTCTCTCCAGCTCCGTCTCTTGTTCTGACCCTCTCCTCACCAGTTCTGCAACTTTGTCTAAGCTCCAAGCATGCTGCATGAGCAGCTCCTTCGCAGCTCTGGCCTCTAGCTACACCTTCCTCTTCCCCACTATTGGGGACACTCCTCCTTGTGCCCTCAGCCCCTGCTAAGATCTGCATATCTTTCCACTAATTTATGGTCCTTATTTCTGAAGACAGCACTTTGTCCCTCGAGACTATAAATTAACTCCTTGATGGCCAAGGTCAGATTCAATGTGTCCTCTAGAACATATAGGAAATTTATAATAAATGCTTGCTGAATCATCCTATTTCATTACAAAAAATAGCCCTGCTTCTCAAAAAGAATTCTCCATGCTCAGCTTGCCTGAAGACTGAAAGAAACCAAACATCCCACCAATGGCATTTCTGATGACGGGCAGACCTTTGTCAGAGGGAAAAAGTGTGAAGTCAGACAACAGGCAGGTTGTGTGCCCGTGACTGGCAGCTCCAGCACCCTTCTATGGGTGGATGTGGAATCCTACCTTCAGCCTCAGTCCCTTCCTTCCAAACAATGGCATTCGAGATGTGTCACGCTTAGCAGCCTAGCTTGCTAAAACTGGTTCATCCTCTGCTAGTGTCTCAGTGAACAGTTGCAGAGAGACATGGGTGGGCTAGAATCATACCAGCCCTGACCTGGACCACGGGAATGCCAAGAGGGACACAAAGTTCTTATTATATTTCTCAGTTCACTTTGGGCCTCAAATATATGTGTGGCTTTTCTTCATCCTTTCAATATTCCCAATATGACGCTTTTAGCAGGGCAATCCTTATCAATTTAGTTTACAGAGTTAGAAAGCTGCTGCTGGGGAGCTTCTCTGCTTCCTGAACTTGAGAAACAAGGTGCCTCACACACTGACTATCCTTATGCAGATGTAAATATATCGTCCAGGCCTTCACCCCAAACGAGACCTAAATGAACCAGTCTGTACGTAGACTGCCTCCAGAATAAGCAGTCTACTTACAGAATGATGTGAGCTCCCTCACGCCTGGCTCCTCTCCAGCCCAAACAGGTACCAGGTTCCAACACTGACCCCGTGCTTCGGCTGGTATTTCCCATAATATTATGTTGATAGGATTAGTCATTGGCATCACAAACGAGGCCTTTGCTCAAATAAGTTATGCAAATGCCAGGTTACAAAATATTAAGAGAGTACCTTTGCTACATGACCTCTGAGAGCTTTAACTTGCTACACCATATTATGAACCTCTAAAACAGGGTACAGTACTCAGTGCTTCCTAGACTTCATGGACCATGGAAAACCCCACTCAGCCCTGCCTTCAGTGGACCATCTTGAAGCACTGACAGGCTGCCAGCATAACCTTGGGAACTGCCCTCTACCTTCATGCTCATTCAGTCACTAGACAGGCGGTGCACTTCAACCAAAGCCAGGGAGAGGAAGTACTAGTGGGTTTTGGAAAATGTTTCTTACAGCCCACATCGGAGGGTGAAGTCAGACAACAGAACGCTAAACAGAAAATCTTAAAGTATCTCCAAAACAAACCTTTCAAATCCTTAGCTATAGGGCCATAAAGTGTATAAAATGTTGTCAAGAGAATAAACTGTTCAATTCCCCTGACATCTTGTCAATATTATCATGTTGGAAAGAGTATAGGATTAGGAATTAGATATACACAGGTTCAAATCCTGGCTCTGCTGCTATTCATCAGTTCTAAATCTGCCTTTTGGGGCTGTATTAAGAATTATATGAACACTATTACATAATAATAAGCAATTAAGATAAATTGTTATTTTTCTATGCATGGAAAACATCTCACTATGTATTATGAACATAACATATACTCTATTTATATAGAAGCAATTGTTCTATTGCAAGCTCTAGTGTATGTCCTGGTCCAAGACAAATTTATATTAGTTAACGTTCTCCAGAGAAACAGAACCAGTGGGAGACAGAGAGAGACTAGACAGATAGATAGAGGATGGATGGATGGATGGATGGATGGACGGACGGACAGACAGACAGACAGACAGCCATAAAGAGATTTATTATAACAAATTGGTTCACAAGATTATGGAAGATGAGAGGTTCCCAGATCTGCAATGGGCAAACAGGCGACCACCACTGGTGGTAGTCCAGGCCGAACGCCAGCAGGCTCAAGACTCAAGAAGAGCTAATATCCATCCAAATCCAAAGGCCAGAAAAGGCCAATGTCCCAGCTTAAATCAGGGAAGAGAAGTTTTCTGCCTTACTCAGCCTTTCTGTTCCATTTAGATCTTCAGTTTACCGGATGAGACCCACCTGCACGAGGAAGGGCAATTTGCATTACTCCGTTTACTGACTGAAAAGTTAATCTCATCCAGAAACATCCTCCCAGACAGAGTCATAACAGTATTTGGCCAGATGTCTAGTCAAGGTGACACATAAAATTACCATCACAACATCTAAATATAGCTACTGTATTAACGAGGTTAAGTAAATCTGGAATTTGGGGCTGTCAGAAGACCACAGTGCCAAACAGCATGCTGGAATGCCAAATGACAACCCAACTCCAGTGCCCAGATGCCTAAATAACTGGAGGAAACATTCAATAACCCGGCTGGAGTAAACTTCAGCAATTTTGTCTGCTGCTCACTGACTGGCCCCCAAAGGTCAGTAGATCATGGCTCCATCTTCACTGCCACTATTTGGAGAACTGTACATGAGAGGGAAAATGCTCTAAGCCACCAGACAAAGCATCCCATGGTGAGGGGAATGTTTTGTTTTACTTTGTTTCAATAATATAACCTAACCTTGTTGGTGCATTTTAAAATGAAAAATAATGAAGCCTCCTAGCTAACCTCAGCCAGCACTAATAAAAATGTGCAACTGAGAGTCACACTGGGAAATGGGTAGGTAAACAGAAAAGCGTAGTTGCTAGAAGCACTAAAAGCTCACTTAATGAGATTAACGAAAGTAAGCTGTCATCCTATGGTATTCTTAGTAGGAACACACGTCACAGAATAAGGAAGGGTGCTAATAATTGCTGAGTGTCCATGTGTCACACACTGTGCCCACATATGTCTTTAAATACATAAACCCACATAATTTTCACTACAACACTGAAGCTGGTAATTATATATATTTTCCATTTTATAGGTGAAGTTCCCAAAAGTTAAGTAATTTACCCAAGGTTATGACTTTGGTGAGCCTTTCTCGTTAGGGACAGAGAAATCATGTAAGTTATTGTATTTGTCCTTCATTTAAAATAATAGAAAACTCAAATTCAAATGATCTTAACACAATCCCTGCTCATGGATTAAATTTAATTTCTTTTTTTGTGTGTGTGTTCTTGCAAGCTGCATCAATCCTTCATGAATCAAAGTAAAGAAGGATAAGTAGAAAGACAGACAGACACACAGGACATCTGGACTGAAGACAGACACACAGGACATCTGGACCGACCATCCACAGTCAGCTGATTCCAAAGCTGTTATCTTTTACTCTATTAGGTTGGAGAGATTTAGTTGAACTAAGTCTTTGTTTCGCTGGGTTTTGTTTTTGTGCCCGGTGGACTTCCCAGGGAGCATCCAGACTTACATATCTTGGGCCTCCAGTAAACCTTCAAGTAATTTCCTCTGGGATCATCCACATCTTTCTTCTCTCTTCTATCACCTTGACTATATATTTGAAATTTTTAATTTAAAATGTTGAGGATTTGTAGGAAAAGAAAGTAGAATGGTGGTTGCCCAGGGTTGAGGAGGAGGGCAGGAGTCTCAGTTTGGGACGATTTTTAAAGTTCTGAAGATGCATAGTGGTGATGGTTGCACAGCAATGTGAATTTACTTAATGACATTGAATTGTATATTCTAAAGGTTAAAATAGTAAATTTTATGTTATATATATTTCACCACAATAAAAATAAATAACTTTAAAAAGCTGAGGGGAAAGCAATGAATTATTCTGAAAATTTGCTATAGCAACAGTGGTTAGTACACAGAAAAGACAGAACAAAAGCACAGAGATTTACCGATACTGTTAGGTAAACATGAAACAAATGAAGTGAAATACACTAACTACGCCAGACCCCCCAAAAGAGTTTGTCTTCTAAAAAAGAAAGTTAAACACAGATTATTTGCTTTCAATAAAAAAAGTACCTGCAGAAGGAAATGTTCTCTTTGCCACTATAAAGAACCCTCGGGGGAATGAGGAAACGTGATGTAACTTCTAAGAATTTCCAGTACATAACGGTGTGCTGACCTCAAAGCACTCTGCTCACCTGTGTCTTACTCCTCTGTGTTAACACTGTCATCTACAAGAAAAATGTTGGATTAAGCGATATTTCAAGTCCTTTTCACCTCTGACATTTTATAATTCTTGGCATCTTTTGCACATCTGTACAAGTCCTTGTACATTATAGGGTTTGATAAACAGGACATTAACCTATTACAAAACCAACAAGTCTACCCCCGTGGATTCCTCTTGTCCGCAAAACCAAGTCTGAACTCCTGGGCATGGCAAAGAAGTACCCCCATGCCTACAGTTCCAGCCTCCTCATCTCCCATCACTCTTACTTTTTCGGGACTACAATACTTTACCTTTAATCAAGGGCATCATCCCCCGTGCCTTTACATATGCCCTTTCGCCAGGCCAGGGGTCCCTGCAATGCCTCCTCTCCCCGACACCCACTCCCAACATGGGTACACATTCCTCTGGTTTACTCTGACTTTTCTTCAACCTAACTCAATTATCACCCCTTCAGTGAGCTCCTCTGTGATCTTCACTTCTGATGCCCCACCCCTTGTCAGCATCACCAACATAAAAGCGTTGTTCTGCCTTCTACACCCCCATTTTCTACTTTAACTATCAATTGTACTCACATTGAAAAACTTTTTGGTAATATGCTTATCACCACAGCAAGTGAATCTGAGGCAGAGAAGAGCCCCTTAGGCTCCATCCCATGCCCAGGTGTCTAGCATAGCACAGGTAGTGCACTGGAAGTTTTCAGTTTTTGTTGACAGAACAGAAAAAAGGAAGGAAGGGAAGAATGAAAAAAATCAACATTTCTATATGTCCCAATGAACTCCAGGCTGTTTTACTATGACATTTCTAAAGAAGAATTTCTCATTTGCAAAAATAAGTGGTATAAATTCTGCCATGTTTGATAGAAAAATAAATCCATAGTTCTAGTTGTTCCCATTAGTCATGCAGTGCCAGAAATTAAACTTTTGCCTTGTGGCATATTAATCTACTTTCCCTTAAATTACATACTAATGCCATATGCTTCAAGCTACCAATCTCTACTAAATTAAGAAAAATGTAAAGATGATATCTTACTTGAATTTTTCAGAAAGCCATGTAATTACTTCAGTCCTGGCTAAGGCATTGCAACTGCTCTTAGAGTCAAACATTGATCAGCCTTCCCCTTTAATTTAGACTGACTCTTTCATAACCTACCTACTTACCAGAAAAAGAAAGCCCAATAAATAAGCTCGAACACCAAGTGGTATCTGAGGCAATGTGGGAGATGACCATGTGTACCTATATGCACACATGCACACACAGATATGTATACACCTGTTTTCCTGCTCCTTAGTTTCTCTTTGATGAACAATTTAGACCCAAGCTCCACCCCAACTGAAGGCCAGATGTGTTTCCATGTTTTCCATAGTATTCACACAAATGTGCCTGAGGAAACAAGAGGACTAGACAAATATGCCTGTAAGAAAGTGTTGATTCAGCCAGACACAGTGGCTCACACCTGTAATCCCAGCACTTTGGGAGGCCAAGGCGGGTGGATCATGAGGTCCAGAGATTGAGACCATCCTAACCAACATGGTGAAACCCCATCTTTACTAAAAAATACAAAAATTAGCCAGGCATGGCGGCATGTGCCTGTAGTCCCAGCTACTTGGGAGGCTGAGGTGGAAGAATCACTTGAACCGGGAGGCGGAGGTTGCAGTGAACCAAGATTGCACCACTGCACTCCAGCCTGGTGTCAGAGCAAGATTCGATCTCAAAAAAGAAAGGGTTGATTCAATTCACCATCTACAGCTAATGGAATTTCACACAGCACAGTAGATCAGACCCACTGAATGTTTTGGTCATATTTGATGTCACTTCCCACACTGAACCCCCTTGCTAAACATGGGACCACAGTACTGGAAATTAAGAAGCAAGACCCAGATATAAATTCACTTGCCTCCTCAATATAAGTTGTTTTTTCCTTGTTCATTTCTAAAACATTCTTTTGAAAATTATTGAAAAGTTGATGTCACATCAAACGCTGACATGACATCAACCAGCAAAGCTGTCCTCACAAGGATTCTCCACACAAGACCCTAAAAGTCATGATAAAATTTTGGTTTGGGTAATATCAGATACCCAAGATATACTTCTTGGCCAAGGACAATTGAAAGCTGGTTGTGTATTTGGATTTCTGGATTCCTTGAAACAATCATCTACAATTCAAGGTATTTTCCATGGTTTAGAAGTTTCGTTCCCTCCAAATCTCATGTTGAAATGTAATCTCCAATGCTGGAGGTGGGCCTGCTGGGAGATTTTTGGGTCATGGGGGTGGATCCCTCATGAATGACTTGGTGCTGTCCCCGTGGTAATGAGTGAGTTCTCACTCTGGTAGTTCACTCGAAAGCTGGTTGTATAAAAGAGCCTAGAACTGCCCTCTCTCTCTCCTGCTCCCACTCTCACCATGTGACATCCTAGCTTCCCCTTTGCCTTACACCATGATTAGAAGCTTCTTGAAGCACCACCAGGAGCAGATTATAGCACAAGGCTTATTAGCCTGCAGAACTGTGAGCCAAAATAAACCTTTTTTCTTTATAAATTTCCCAATCTCAGGTATTCCTGTATAGTGACACAAACAGACTAACACAGAAAATTGGTACAAAGTAGTGGGGCATTTCTATAAAGGTGCCTGAGGATGTAGAAGCATGATGCCAGCATTTGCTTCTGGTGGGGGCCTCAGGAAAGTTACAATCATGATGGAAGGTGAAGGAGGAGCCAGCATGTCACATGGCAATTGAGTGAGTGAGGGAGAGAACAAGAGATTCCAGGCTCCTTTAAACAACAAGATCTCACATGATCTCATAGAATGAGAACACACTTATTACCACGAGCATAGTACCAAGCCATTCTTGAGGGATCTGTCCCCATGACCCAAATATCTCCCACTAGGCCCATCTTCAACGCTGGAGGTCACATTTCAACATGAGGTTCGGTGAGGACAAAACATTCAAACGATATCAGTATTCTTAAAGATCTTAGAGCAGTCATAAAGGCAGAGTCCTTCCTCCATCATGTTTGTTCCTTCAAACCACATTGGCTGAGTGCTTCCTGCGTAGACACTTAACAAAGAGTATGGTCGACTGAGTGCTTCCTGGGTAGACACTTAACAAAGGGTATGGCCGACTGAGTGCTTCCTGCGTAGACACTTAACAAAGGGTATGGCCGACTGAGTGCTTCCTGCGTAGACACTTAACAAAGAGTATGGCCGACTGAGTGCTTCCTGCGTAGACACTTAAAGAGTATGGCCGACTGAGTGCTTCCTGCGTAGACACTTAAAGAGTATGGCCGACTGAGTGCTTCCTGCGTAGACACTTAACAAAGAGTATGGCCGACTGAGTGCTTCCTGGGTAGACACTTAACAAAGGGTATGGCCGACTGAGTGCTTCCTGCGTAGACACTTAACAAAGGGTATGGCCGACTGAGTGCTTCCTGCGTAGACACTTAACAAAGAGTATGGTTTCTTGGAGGGTTTTTGGGAATAGAAAGAAACCATCCCAAGAACATCATCCAGGTGGTATACTGGAGGTCTACTAGTTTCTTTGCTTGGCATATTTGGGTTCAAATCCTGACTCTGCCACTTAGCAGCCATGCCCTTGGCAGGCTATTTAACCACCCGGAAACAGCTTCCTCATCTGTGAAGTGAGAGTAATAATACTACCCTCAAAGTGTTGTCGAAGGAACGAGGTTAGCAAACCTATATGAAGCACCTGGCATGAGGCCTGCCTCCTTCAATGTCAGTTCCCTTCCCTGCTTACTTCCCTATCTAGGAAGACACAGCTGTCCAGGAAAAGTAGCATTCATTCCTGGGAGGTCTGGAGTCACAACTGCTTCTACAGCATGGCACGCTGCCAAATGGTAGACAAAGGCACAAGGGATGACTTTTGAGGTGACTGCTGTTTAGCCTTTGTGTTCCTAGTGTTGTCTCCTGGAGACTAATGGAAGAGGCACTGGCACTTGCCTACTGCCAAGAGCAGGCCATGGAGAAGCTGTTTATTATGGACATTTTGCACTCTGTACATGCATACACGGAGGCCTCTCAGCTTTCCCTTGGCCTTGGTGGCATCGCTTCATAGACTGAGAAGTCAGAATTGAGAGGCTTCCCCAGATGGCTTAGGAGTACATAACAAGCCACAGAAAACCACTTTCTATTCAATAGGGAGAGAGGCTTCTGCTTTGGCCAGCTGAAACTCAGCTGCCACTTATAAATAAGGGAAACTTGCTTGGGCTAAAAGCACAGGCACAGAAGATGCCAATTAAATAACAGTCAAATAGGTCCAGGGTTTTATGCCCTCATCTACCTCATGCAATATCCTATGAGGATAAAAAGACAAAAAGAATGTGGTGAAGACATTAGAGGGTGAGAAATTTCAACAGATATTTGGAAGCAGAAAAGGGAGGGGAGAAGGTAAAACATGGCTATTCTACCAAAGAAGAAAATGCTATAATCTAAATTCCATACCCTGCTAAGTAAGAGTGAGTTGGTTCATCCTGCAGAACCCTGAGAAAACCCCAGGACATGAAGGAATTAAGTTCAGTGGAAGGTAGGGGTGAGGACAGAGTGGAGGACAGAGGTCTTAGCCTGCATCCCCATGCCTGGGATGCTGGCAGCTACACAGATACGCCTCCCACCCACCGATGCCCAGATAGCAGACTAAAACATTCTTCCCTTGAGAAATTGAGGCACTCCAGAGAAAATAACACTATGTACCATTTGTGATTCTCCAAAAAGAGGCCGAATAAAAAGCTGCCCAGTTGCCCTACAGGAAACAGGAAAGCCCAGCAACTGGCAAAATGCACTCACACTTAAGTAGAGAGGGGTTGCTGTCAGCTTTTAATGCTCTTAAATACAAATGGACACTGATTGTCATGCATTTAAGAAAAGCCTTCTAAATGACATGAGTCAAAAACAAATAATAAAAAGGAACCTGGAAGAAAAACCAATACAATGCAGGGAAGAGATGAAAGTTTTAGAGAAAAAGA